CCACCTACAAAAAACTCGAATATCTCACGAACGAAAGCAGCACAAACGACCGCGTTTACGGCACAAAACAGCACAAACGTAGCACAAACGAATACCATGAAAAGAAATTTTAATTTCGATAGTGGGGGGGCTGGCATGTCTCCAGCCCCACCTACAAAAAACGTAAATATCTCGTGAACAAAAGCAGCACAAATGATCGCGTTTGCGGCACAAAACAGCACAAACGTAGCACAAACGAATACCATAAAAAAAAATTTAATTTCGATAATGGGGGGCTGGCATGTCTCCAGCCCCACCTACAAAAAACGCAAATATCTCATGAACCAAAGCAGCAATGTGGCATTTTCACATTTTAGATATGCTGAGGTTGGCGGGCTGGGAACATGGAGCCCCGTTCGCGAATTAATACTTCGAATCGTGTCGTTTCAATTAAATTCATTACAAAAAGAGAAAACGTTTCTTTTACTTCATTTCATTTACTTGCCACAAAAATAAATTAAAAACATTCCATTGGAATCAGAAGATGTAATAAACAGGGTCTTTTCATTTGAGGGTATAACATATTTGATTTTATTCGTGAAATTTGCGCAAGAAAGTTTAACGCATACACGATAGCACAACAAAGAATAATCGGATGGATCAGTTCCCTTCTTTGGTACATTGGGTCACATTAAGTCTGCTATGAGCTCTATGACAAGTATGGAGGTTGGATTCACCTCATCATAGGGGATTTTCCAAAAGAGTTCTATGACTAAATTGCGAGTTGTGTTTAACCACCTACGGGACATCGTTAAATTAATGTGCGCATGTCAGACTTTCTTCTACTTCTGCTTTTTCTTTGAAGGAGCCGTAGAAGCTTGTTCTATCCATTCTGTTCTGCTTACATTTCTTATGATGAGGACGAGCTATCTGTTTCAAGGACAGACATGCACAAGTGACATCGGAAAGAGTCACTTTGACTAGGGGTGTTCCACAGGGTCTATCCTTGGTCCTCTTTTATTTTTGATGTTTTTCAATGACTTTCCGTGACAGTCTTATTTTAGGGACATTGACTATTTATTATATGCTGACGATGTCACTTTGATTATCCGAAGCGATGAAGCTAAAGAGGTCATTCAAGGATCAGAATTGGTTCTAGATAGAGCACGTAAATGGTGCATCGCGAATGAGTTGTGTTTGAATGATGGGAAAACAGTCAGAATAATATTAAGTCAGAGGAATTTTAATTTTACTAATTTTGGTAATCCGTTGTTTGGTAAATTCTTGGGAGTTTACATAACCACTCATAAGTAAGAAAATTTCAAAAAACAAATATGTACTAAAAGAAATTCACTCAAATGAGAAATATGCCAAGGAATAAAATAATATTATACATTTTTTTATTATACAGGATGTCTCACGTAACTGGTTCGTGAGATAGTACTATAGTATATCAGTATACTATAGCATTACATTTAAAATAACGAAGTTATGGTCTACTTCCGGTAGACCGGAAGTGGCAGCCATCTTAAAAATATGTTAAATCGAAAGATTCGAATGAATAACACATGCTACCAAAATTTCAAAACAGTACGAATAGTGGAACCTGAAAAAGTTCTAACGAATCAGTTCCGTGAGACATCCTGTATTAGTAAATTGTACTTATGTGGAAATTTAAAAAATATATTACGATACTATTTTTCACGATCAATGATGTTCCGCTTTTCCAATGTTAAAATCTGGTCACCTTACCATTTGGATGCTGATATGCAATTTTTGTAATCGTTAGAAGTCTATTCATTTGGATTCATGAAACATTATATTTCGTCGTTACTGCTTCCCTAATGGGTCACTTGTTGACCTATTTTTCAGGTTGTTCAGGTGTCCATAAGATGATATACTTATGGCCAAACAAGTGTAATCTGTTACTTCTTCTATTACGTGGTCGTTCAATTCTAGTTTACATCTCTCTCGCTAGATTCTCTAGCTATTACCATAGTTTTTGTTTGGTAACATGTTTTTTTTTCTGCTTGAATTCCTGGTGTAGCCATTATAGTCCATTCTCCGTGTTATGGTCAATTAATGATGCACTATCCGCGTGGTATATGACTTTTACTTCACCTAATTATTTTCTATTTTTCTTCTCTCCTAGTTAGTTAACTAAACCGTAAACCGTAGTAGACCGCATTGACCATTGACCTGTTTTTCAAACACCCCTGTTGTTCCTAGCATGTTGTTATATACTTCAGAATGCTGTTTGCAGGAGACGGAGAACAGCTTCATGGATATGTTTAGAAGGGAAATTCCTCGGTAATTCTCTTGGTATGAGGATATTCTTCTTTTAAAAAATGAAATAGTGATACTGGTTCTCCAGCTTTCTGGAGATTATACATTCTGCAGTATTTTATCATACAGCTTCATGATTTGTTCTGTTAGTTCTTCTCGTCTCCACTTAAGCAGCTCATAGAGATCCACACCTGATTACTTTCACTTTTTTTATTCGTCTTATCGGCAGCAAAACTTCCTCCGCTGTGAATTATTCTATTTTTTTCTCAGCATCTGCTCTCTTCATGCTTGATCTTTCGGCGAAGGTTACATACAGGTGGAGAATGAACGAATGAATTTTTAGAAATTAGGGAAGATAACCGAGAAGATATAAAAGGAGCGGATTCGTTGTTTAGAAGCGAATACTATGTCAAATATGATTCATACTCTTGATCAATTGCCTCTATATTACTAGAAATGCGACTGATTGGTGAAGATAAGTCTCCTCGTGTTCTCAGATTGATCTGCAACATCGAAATAGATTAGTTACTATTTGTAAGGAATAAAGTAGATGCAATAAATAACAGGTTCACGGTGAAGATTTTCTTCGAGGAGCATTGTCCATCCAGGGTTCATTGTTGACTCGGGATTGATTAGTGCATTCGGAGAGATGGGGCATTTTCGTCTTGATCACCTTTGGATAGTGCAAGTAGTATTAACAACTTTAAAACTCGTGTTTCCTTTTGAAACTGATTTCGATGCCGTTAAGGTACTTGTGCACTTCGGTAGCGACGTTTTGATTTATAACTGGATCGATTCAACGGTAACTATCGCGAAAATTTGCAGTCATTCAAGAAAATTAAAAGATTTTCTCCGCAACATGGTCGTAATGGTTTAACAACTTCAGAACTAATCGATGTGGTGATCTGATCCTTCTTTAAATATCACTAAATTCCCGGAATCAGCTTTGAACCAGTTCTCAAGTATTTAGAAAAGTATTCAATTATTTCCAAACATTGAAATGACTTTAAATCAATTCTTAACCATTTAGAAAACTTTTCAACGATTGCCAATCAGTTTTCTATTTAAGTACGAATGCTTTCACGGCCAGTATTAATTGAACTAACACCAGCACTATCACTAGAACTAAAACTTGACCTAGAACTAGAAACTTTCTGACGACGCACGGCTTAACCCGAAAGTTTCTAGTTCCAGGTCTAGTGTTAGTTCTAGTTATAGTGCTAGATATATGTCAACTGTCAATTATTTAAATAAGTTTTTAATGATTACTAACCAATTTTCAATTATTTTGAACAATCTTGCAATACTAGAAACTTGTACCAATTGTACTGTGAACCAAATCTTAACTATTTAGACAACTTTTTAATGATTACTAAGCAGTTTTCTACTATTTTGAATAACCTAGTCTAATTAGTTTTAAATAATTTAGACTAGTTTTCAATGAGTACCAACGAAACTTCAATTATTTGAACAACTTTGCAACACTATAAACTTAAATTAAAACAATAACTTGCAATATGGATCATTTGGATAACTATAAATTACTTTTAAACAATTTTAGACAACATTTTTAGTCAGTTTCAACAACCTGAAATAAATTTAAATCAGTGTTCAACTATTCAGAGTTTTTATTTATTTAGACAAACGTCAAAAGATTACCAACCAATTCTCCATTAATTTGGATAATTTTGCAATACTGTAAACTTGTCTTGAACAATTTTAGATGCAGTTTTCAAACAATTTAACAACATGAAATACCTACGAACCAGTTCTAAGCCATTTAGACAAGTTTTCAATAACTAGGAACCAGTGTTCGATCACTTTGAACCACCTGGAAATGGTTTGACCACTTCTCAATCACTTGCACAATTTTGCAACACAATAAACATATTCTGAACAAGCTGAACTAGTTTTCAATCATTTAGATAAATTGTTGAAGTATACCAAGCAATTTTTAATCATTTTGAACAACTTTGCAATGTTATTAACCAGCTTTCAATCATATTGTATTATCTGGAATCGATATAAACCATTTCAAAATCATAGATTTTGAATAAGCTTCCATGATAAGGTTACAGAATGATCATCACCACTAACTTGTAAGTGTTTTCTTAATTAAGAAATTTCTCGAAGCCTTAAAGGAGTCATTCAAATTCTTTTTAACACTAATTACATTTACAATTAATTAAAGATTTGTATAACTCTTTAATCTTGAAGCAGAGCTTAATATCATTCTTGAACCATAGAAGATAGTTGAAAGTAACGATTATCAATCTGATTAAATATTATCCTATTTAAGATGTAATTAAAAAGAACATTATGATAACATAATTATAATTAAAGAAATTAGTTATTAAAGATTAAAACAATAAAAATGCAATAGTTATTCGATAAGGTCTAATCCCGCATGAAAATGAATAAAATTGAATTGACCTTAAAAAGATTAGATAAATAGGTACCCACATTACACAATATAACTCTACGTTTTAAGTGCAATTATTTCTCAATGTTTTTCTATTGTATTCAGCATAGAGAACTACTCTTATAATGTTAAAGTTTTTCCTCGTTTTAATTTCAATTCAACAAATAACTTGCAAACATATTTTATTTATAAATTTGGTTCTATCTCCAAGTCATCATGGATGGAATGAAGTTTTAATCGAAGGCTTATTAAGCAAAAACCATAATGTTACAATGATCGGATATTATGAACCCAAAATAAAACATCCCAATTATAATGTTTTACAAGTTGATGGTAAGTTGAGATAAATTTAAATAATCATTTTTAATTCTTTTTATGTGTAGTGAAACCATTTGCGCAAAACGTTGATGCTATATATGAACAAGCATCAGCTGATGGTTCTGCAAGTATAAAATCAATATTCAATTTAGCAACATTTGCTGAAAATGGTTGTAAATATAGTTTAAATACGCAACAATTTAAGCAACTTTTAGATTACCCCAAAGATTCGTTTGATTTGATTATTTTCGATATAACACTTTCAGAATGTTTTTTACCTTTAATAGATCATTTTGGGTTACCCCCAACTGTTGCTGTAACTGCTTTTGGAATGAACACTTATTACAACGATATTGTTGGCCAATCAACGGAAAATTATATTCCATATTTCGGTTTACCCTACACGGATCAAATGAGTTTTTTTGAACGAATGCACAACTTATTTTATTTAACCATGGAAAGTATAATAAGAGTAAATTCTATTAAGAAATTAAATGTTATCTCTAAAGAAAGTTTTGGAACAAAATCTAGAAGCATTGAAGATTTATTTAAAGAAATCTCATTAATTTTTCCTAATGATAACCCGATTTTGGATTATCCCAGACCAACGGCACCAAATGTTATTCCAATCGGTGGGGTTCAAGTTAAGCCACCGAAAAAACTTGATAAGGTAAGATTAGAAATTTGTTAAAAATATTCTTAACTAATTTAGTAATTGATTTTAGGATTTACAAAAAATTTTAGACGATTCCAAACAAGGTGTAATTTTCGTATCTTTAGGTTCAAACTTTTTACCAAAATTTTACGGAAAACACGTTATAAAAGCTTTCAAGGAATCGTTCTCAAAACTAAATCAAACCGTTCTATGGAAATTTGATGATGATGGTGATCTTTCTAAAAATATTATTACTCGAAAATGGTTCCCTCAAAGCGACATTTTGGCCCATCCAAACACGAAGCTTTTTATAACTCATTGTGGTGGACTAAGTACGCAAGAAACTATAATTAGGGGTGTTCCAGTTATCGGAATACCGTTATTTGCTGATCAATTTAACCGAGCCGGAAAGTATCAATCAATTAATGGAGGTGTAATTCTAAAATATTCGGAATTAACGACCGATAAAGTTTATAATTCAATTGTGGAAGTTTTATCTAATCCTGTGTAAGTTATTTTTTTTTTTAATAAAAATATTTATTAAATCACTTTTTGTAGGTATAAAAACAATATGAAACGATGTTCCATGTTGTATAATGAACAACCGGAAAAACCAATGGAAAAATTTTTGATTTGGACCGATTATATTCTTAATAATGGTCATTTAAAACATCTATCTCTTGCACGTAGAGAAATGAGATGGTATCAAGTAGATAATTGGGATATTTTTGGGTTTATTATTGGTGTATGTTTATTTTTGTATGTTTTATTAAAAAAAATATCCTGTGTAATATTAAAAATGTGCAAAACAGATCGAAAAGAGAAAATAAATTGACCTAAAATGTAAAACTTTATGTAAAATTTCAAGAATTTTTAAAATGATAGGACGTAAGAAAATTAATGTTGATGATATGCCTTAGTTTGTAATAATGTGTTACAAATGTTGTTTTCAATTTGTTGGAAACTAATTTTCAATTAATTTTGACAATTTTAGACAGGTTATCAAAGATCATCAATAAATTTAATCACTTTGAAACATGGAATATGTGAACCAGTTTTCAATCATTTAGACACGTCCTAAAAGATTGCCAACCAAATTTCAATTAATTTGGACAATCTTGCAACACCATAAACTTATTTTCAACTTTAGATACAGTTCTCATTTAGACNATCGCTTTGAAACCTGGAATATGTGAACCAGTTTTCAATCATTTAGACACGTCCTAAAAGATTGCCAACCAAATTTCAATTAATTTGGACAATCTTGCAACACCATAAACTTATTTTCAACTTTAGATACAGTTCTCATTTAGACCATTTAGATTTTTAAACAGTTATTAATTATTTTCAAAAACACGAAATAAATTTTTGAACAAGCTGAAATAGCTCCGAGCCAGTTTTTAATGATCACAAAGTAGTTAATGATAAAATATGATAAAAGGATAAATGAACAACTCAAAGATAAAATCATGAAACACAAAAAAGAATAGAGATCTTACGAAGGTGGTGAGGGCGAGAGAGAAATACTGGAAAAAGTTTCTAAGCGACAAGAACAAGATCAATATTATAATAATAATAATAATAATAATAACTTTATTATCCCAACAGAAATTTGTTTTCCAAAAAGAGAGATAATGTTATAAACAACAAAATTAAGCCTAAGAACGTACATTAATTGACATAATAAGAAGTAAATATATACAAACAAAAAGAAAAAGAAAGAAAACATATTCAATGAAAAATGAAAAATCAAATAACAACAATTTAACAAACTGCTAAGTTAAACATCGAAGAATGATACACATTCGGTCGTATTAGCAGCTCGCATTAATTTGTTGAATGGGGAATTTAGTCCAATATTTGTGTGACCGCGATTGGTAGTAAAAACATTAAAGTCACGAGCACCAAACCTCGGAACTTTTATATTCAATTGCGACAAAACACCCGATGCAACCACCACACCCGACATCACATCCCGAACAAATCTTGCTGACATACACTTCCTTCTGTCTTCAAGGCTCTGGAGTCCATAACGATGTNTCTGAATGATGATTCCTATTTTCTTCGCGAACTATTGAAGGATTCCACCATTTCGCCATAGCTAATTTCAGAGATACCGAAAGAAACCCCAGTCATAACAGGATTGATATGGTGACTATTGGAGGCAGCGAATGAGGTACGACTATACATACAATATTGATGACATTGAGAAAATATAAGGATCATAAATATATTTATCCACGAAGACTTTACTAAGGAAGGCAGGAAAAACGAGAATTTAGGTACATGGAGTAGAAGCCTAAAAGAACAAGAATTGGAGGAAGAATTTGTATGAGCAGACTTCAAGTCCTAGAAGTAAAATTGGAAAATGTCACTTCATATGGAGGAAAGTGGGCGAACACAATAGATCGAATAGGTTCTATAATCCAAAGAACCACTAAAGAAACAGTAAGACAATGCAGAGCACTATCGGAAAGAATACTGAATATAGACTTGAAAAACATGACAAATACAAAAATCATAACAGCAGTATAAGAACCAGATGAAGATAAAGGGCAAATAATAAAGAAAACTTCTGATATTCTTTAAAGTAGTAGGAACAACCAGAGACATCATCATATCTGAAGATTTTAATGGAAGAGTGGGAGTAAGAAAATATAATAATAATGGAGCTAATAGCAAATTTAAGAATAGCTGAAGAGGAAGCTCAGAAAAATGAAGTAGCAGCTTAAGGAAACACATGTGAAGAAATTATAAAATCGTACACACAAAATAATAGTAACTGGATATGAACAAAAAATAGTCGTAAATTTAATAAAAGAAATGGAAACAACAGATAGCCCTAATATAGAAAAATTATGGAAAGTATTAAAAGTGTTATAATCGGAGCGTCACATAATGTATAACAAACAAAGAAGTAAGAATAAGGGTGAAGATACTAGTTAAACAATCAAAACGAATAACATGAGAAGAATTTGAGAGAAAATTAGAGAAATATAGGAAAAGTAATCAAAAGCTGTTCTATAATGTCCGAAAAATTTGCTTTGAGAATAGCAAATGAAGTAGGCAAAATACTGACAATAGGAATATAAATAATGGAACGCTGAAAATGCAAAGATAAAGCAAGGAGCAAAGAGAAATAAATGATGGACAAGAAACATATGGGGAGTTTATTGCCTTTGATATGTTTTTGCCCTTTTGTAGTCGACTTTGTATTTCCGCCCCACATATCTTTGCATAGTTTGATTATGATGTAATCGCTCACAACCAGATCTTTTTTTTTTAATTAACAGATGCACCTGTCGTATGCATCTATTAATTTCCTTGTCATATAGTTACGGACATCTTCGTCCTCGGCCACTGCCACTTGGCCATCTGCAAAACATAGCTATACAGCGTTATCTGTTCTGCACATATATATGAAACAATGCGCAACCTTGTTCCAACTTTGCTTTTGCCCCTTTGTATAGTTCTTGTACTACCTTACTTAGTGTGTCATTTATTGATGTTTATGATAGAACTTGCCACAATTTTTTTTGAGTGATGACCTTGGTTAGATCAACAAATAGATGTATTGCTCTTTTTGCAGCTACTTTCTATTCTGAGATTTGATTTGAACTGAAAATATTATCCACGCATGTTCTTCCCGCTCTGAACCTCGCTTGTTCCTCTGTTTCAAATGGCGCCAATTCTTCCTGTATTAAGTTTTTCAATACGACTGTTAGACATCGGTAATTGTAACAGTTTTCCTGTCGCAACTTTTATGGATCGGTGTTATCCATCCTTCTTTCCAAGCCTCCGGAGTTTCTTCGCCATTCACAAAATTTCAAAAGATGTCTCTCAGACTTTCCAGCAATGCGTTGAGCACATTCTTTATTAACTCCAAGCCGCTTCCCTTGTTGTTTTTCATTTCTTTCAGTGTTTTTTATCAAGTCTACAATTATTTCTGGCGGAGGCTCTTCTAATTTATATGTTGCTGGTGATCGTATTAGGAACTATGGTCTTTGCTTTGTCAATTCCCTTTCATACTGTTCTTGTCAACTCAATACAGAAATAAGTGGTATACTTAATTTTTCATTGATGTTGTTTTTTAAGGATCGATCATCATGGTTGTTTGTATAATTAATTAATATTTTGACAGATTTATTAATATTTCATCCGATACTCGATCTTGTTCCGTATCTTGATGTAACCGTTTTTGATATGCATTTTATTTTATATTCTTTTGTTTTTGAAGGTCCTCATTTCATATAATTTTGTTGTTCTTTTGTGCTCTTGGTTTTTCGGTTAAGGTTTCCTTATCTGCTTCATGTATTACGTTAAGGAGTTCAGAGTACGTTTGTATTACGTTTTTCCTTCTTTGCATTTTTTGTATTTTTTCGTCTAGTCTCTTTTGGTGTAAGTATTTCATGCTGTCTTGTAGTATTCTATAGGTTTGTTTGTTTCTTTCTCTTCTTTTCTTTGACGTTATATTGTGTGCGGGTTATTGCTTAGGAAGTAATGGTTTGATTCGTATTCAAGACTTCTAGAGACTATTTTATTTTGGATTTTTAATTTAGTGCTTGTATTTTGATGTCATGTGTATTTATGTATGTTTTTATGTTTCAAGAAGTCATTTTATGTTCTCATTCCTTTTGTTGTACATAAGTCTATTAATCAGTGCCTGTTATCGTTAGCTGTTTTTCCTCCAAACTTGCCTACAGCTTCGTTGTTTATTCTTCTATTTGTTCTTGCGTTTAAGTCCTAAAACTAAACATTCCCGCTTAACTTACTTGCGATAGTGTGCAATGTGTTATATATATAAAATGTCTTTTTCTGCGGCCTTGGCATCTTCATTTGTATGATTTTTTAAGTTTCCATTTATCAGTATGGACTTTACGGAAAAACTGTATTTACAGTAATGATTACTCTAATCCACAAGGCAAAATTGTTTCAAAATTGTAAAAATTATAGATGGTGAGGTATAAACGTGATGCCTCATAATCACTTCAAAATCATAGATTTTGAACAATCTTCCATAATCTTTGAAACTTAAAGAAGGTTACAGAACGTCTTATTATTTGTGCATTGGCTTTACAGAAGCAAAGCTTCAATAATTCACCAGAAAGAAGATAACAGACCATCATCACTAACTTGTAAGTGTTTTCTTAATTGGAAAATTCCTCGAAGCCTTTAAGCAGTTATCCAAATTCTTTTTAACGGTAATCACATTTACAATTAATTCATTTCGATTTGTATAACTCTTTAATCTTGAAGCAAAGCTTAATATCATTCTTGAACCATGGAAGATAGTTGAAAGCAACGATTATCAATCTGATTAAATATTATTCTATTTAAGATGTAATTAAAAACAACATTATGATAACATAATTATAATTAAAGAAATTAATTATTAAAGATGAAAACAATAAAAGTGCAATTATTATTCGATAAGGTCAAAATAAAAATATGTAATTCCGCAAACATAACGAAAACGAATAAAATTGAATTGACCTTAAAAAGATTAGATAAATAGGTACTCACATTATATAATATCACTGTACGTTTTAAGTGTCTCTGTACAATTTCTCAATACGGTCTTTTATTGTATTCAGCATAGACAACTACTCTTATAATGTTAAAGTTTTTCCTCGTCTTAACTTTAATTCAACAAATAACTTGCAAACATATTTTATTTTTAAATTTGGTTCCATCGCCAAGTCATCATGGATGGAATGAAATTTTAATCGAAGGTTTATTAAGCAGGAACCATAATGTTACAATGATCGGGTATTATGAACCCAAAATAAAACATCCCAATTATGATGTTTTACAAGTTGATGGTGAGTTGAGATAAATTTAAGTAATCTTGTTTAATTTTTTTTTATGTGTAGTGAAACCATTTACTCAAAGCGTTGATACTATAATGGAACAAATATCAGCTGATGGTTCTGCAAGTATAAAATCAATATTCCATTTAGCAACATTTGTTGAAAATAGTTGTAAATATAGTTTAAATACGCAACAATTTAAGCAACTTTTAGATTACCCCAAAGATTCGTTTGATTTGATTATTTTCGATATAACATTTTCAGAATGTTTTTTACCTTTAATAGATCATTTTGGGTTACCCCCAACGGTTGCTGTAACCGCTTTCGGAATGTACACTTATTTCAACGATATTGTTGGCCAATCAACGGAAAATTATATTCCATATTTCGGTTTACCCTACACCGATCAAATGAGCTTTTTTGAACGAATGCACAGCTTATTTTATTTAACCATGGAAAGTATAATAAGAGTAAATTCTATTAAGAAATTAAACGATATCTCTAAAGAAACTTTTGGAACAAAATCTAGAAGCATTGAAGATTTATTTAAAGAAATTTCTTTAATTTTTCCTAATGATAACCCGATTTTGGATTATCCCAAACCAACGGCACCAAATGTTATTCCAATCGGTGGGGTTCAAGTTAAGCCACCGAAAAAACTTGATAAGGTAAGATTAGAAATTTGTTAAAAATATTTTTAACTAATTTAGTAATTGATTTTAGGACTTACAAAAAATTTTAGACGATTCCAAACAAGGTGTAATTTTCGTATCTTTAGGTTCAAACTTTTTACCAAAATACTACGGAAAGCACGTTATAAAAGCTTTCAAGGAATCGTTCTCAAAACTAAATCAAACCGTTCTATGGAAATTCGATGATGATGGTGATCTTTCTAAAAATATTGTTACTCGAAAATGGTTCTCTCAAAGCGATATTTTGGCCCATCCAAACACGAAGCTTTTTATAACTCATTGTGGTGGACTAAGTACGCAAGAAACTATAATTAGGGGTGTTCCAGTTATCGGAATACCGTTATTTGCTGATCAATTTAACCGAGCCGGAAAGTATCAATCAATTAATGGAGGTGTAATTCTAAAATATTGGGAGTTAACGACCGATAAAGTTTATGATTCGATTGTGGAAGTTTTATCTAATCCTGTGTAAGTTATTTTTTTTTAAATAAAAATATTTATTAAATCACTTTTTGTAGGTATAAAAACAATATGAAACGATTTTCCATGTTGTATAATGAACAACCGCAAAAACCAATGGAAAAATTTTTGATTTGGATCGATTATATTCTTAATAATGGTCATTTAAAACATCTATCTCTTGCAAGTAGAGAAATGAGATGGTATCAAGTAGAAAATTGGGATATTTTTGGATTTATTATTGGTGTATGTTTATTTTTGTATGTTTTATTAAAAAAAATATCCTGTGTAATATTAAAAATGTGCAAAACAGATCGAAAAGAGAAAATAAATTGATCTAAAATGTAAAACTTTATGTAAATTTGCAAAAAATTTTAAAATGATAGGAAGTAAGAAAATTAATGTTGATGATTTACGATTCAGAGCGTAAAAGTCACACAATTATAAATAGAGCTTTCAAACATTTTAACAAATCTGAAATAGCTACCAATAATTTAAGCAAACTTTTAATGACTTGCAACCAGTTTCCAATTATTTAGACAAGTTTTCAATTTGTTGGGAACCAATTTTCAATTAATTTTGACAATTTTAGACAGGTTTTCAAAGATCATCAATAAACTTTCAATCGCTTTGAAACCTGGAATATGTGAACCAGTTTTCAATCATTTAGATACGTCCTAAAAGATTTCCAACCAAATTTCAATTAATTTGGGTAATCTTGCAACACTATAAACTTATTTTGAAAAACTTTAGATACAGTTCTCTATTATTTTGAATAACCTAGAATAGCTATGAACCAATTCCTATCCATTTAGGTTTTTAAGCAGTTATCAATTATTTTCAAAAATACTAAATAAATGTTTGAACAAGCTGAAATAGCTGGGAGTCAGTTCTCTAATTAGACAAATTTTCAATGATCACAAAGTATTTAATGGTATGAATGAGATAAAAAAAAATAAACAACTCAATGATAAAATCAAGAAACAGGAAAAAGAATAGAGATCTTACGAAGGTGGTGATGGCGAGAGAGAAACACTGGAAGAAGATTAATATTGATGACATTGAGAAAATTTAAGCAAATAAAATTTTTAAAATAGCCACAAATATATGGATCAACGAAGAAGACAGGAAAGCCCAGAATTTAGGTACATGGAGTATTAGAAGCGTAAAAGAACAAGAATTAGAGGAAGAATTTGTTTGGGCAGATTTGAAGTCCTGGAAGTAGAATTGGAAAATCCATGATGGACAAGAAATAATAAGATAGAAGAAATAATTACATCACATATGGGGATTTTATTGCCTTTGATATGTTTATAGTCTAGTTTTTTTCCAAGGTACATATTATATTCTTTACATGCTTTGATTATGATGTTATCTTCTTTTTTTCAATTAACAGATGCACCGTCTATTAATTTTCTTGTCATATACTCAAGGACGTCCTCGTTCTGGGCCACTACCACTTGGTGATCTGCCAAATATAGGCTATACAGCATTATCCATTCTGCACGTATATATGAAACAATGTGCAGTCTTGCTAGAGGCTTTTTGTGATCTTAAAGCTTTCTGAACTTGCAACAACTTTTTTTAGTGATGGTATCGTATGCCTTGGTTAGATCAACAAATAGATGTGTTGCTCTTTTTGCAGCTACTTTCTATTCTGAGATTTGATTTGAACTGAAAATGTTATCCACGCTTCTTCCCGCTCTGATCCTCGCTTGTTTCTCTATTTCAAATGGCCCAATTCTTCCTGTATTCAGTTTTTCAATATGACTGTTAGACATCGGTAATTGTAACAGTTTTCCTGTCGCAATTTTTATGGATCGGTGTTATCCATCCTTCTTTCCAAGCAAATTCACAAAATCTCAAAAGACAGTTCCCGCCCTTTCTAGCACTGAGTTGAGCATATTCTTTATTAACTCCAGGCCGCTTAAACGTTGTCTTTCATTTCTTTCACTGTTTTTACTTTATTATGGCTACAATTATTTCTGGCGGAGGCTCTTCTAATTTATATGTTGCTGGTGATCGTATTAGGTCTTTGTTTTGGCAATTCTCTTTCATACTGTTCTTGTCAACCCAATACAGAAATAATTGGTATACTTAATTTTTTATTGTTGTAGTTTTTTAAGGATCGCACTGCCTAGCCCGCCATTAAGACTAACGATCCTCATGGTTGTCTGTATAATTAATTTATTTTTTGACAAATTTTTTGATTTAAGCGTTTTTGATATACCTTTTATTTTATATCATTTTGTTTTTGTAGGTCTTTGTTTTTCGCCTAAGGCTTCGTTATCTGCTTACTGTGTTACGTTGAGGAGTTCAGAGTACATTTGCATTACATTTTTCCTTCTTTACATTTTTTGTATTTTTCCGTCTAGTCTTTTTTGGTATAAGTAGTTCATGCTGTCTTGTAGTATTCTATAGGTTCGTTTGATTTTTTCTCTTTTTTTGACTTTATATTGTTTGCGAGTTATCGTTAGCTGTTTCTTCTCTAAACCTGCCTACTGCTTCGCTGTTCTTGCGTTTAAATTCTAAAACTATTTATTCTCTGCCATAACCTAACGTACTTGAGATAGTGTGCAATGTGTTATATAAAATCTCTTTTTCTGCGGCCTTGGCATCATTTGTGTGAATTTTTAGGTTTCACAAAAAATTAAATTCCAAAAGTCCAGGAATATTATCATCGTGCAGGTTCTGACTTCCCAAAGATTCCTTCTCCATTCTACATAGGCCGTGTCTTCGATACATATGTACCTGGTGGTCGATCCACTTTGCTATCCCTAATAGCAAAGTTTCTTGGTCTTAGCGTTGAAAAGAAATTCTCATGAAGTTTTCGATTTTATTTCCAATGAAGTCGCCTTCATCCCTGTTATGTACCTTACACCCTCTGTAAATAAAATTTGTTGCCGAATAGCAAGAATCAAGTAAAATTCGACTTTTGTGCAAATTCAAGAAACCCTAATTTTAACCGAGGTATCCACTTGCAAGAAATGCTCTCGAGAGAAGCTATCGAAAGAATATTTTCTGGTGGACACGCATCTGAGAGTAACTATCAGAGAGTCCTCACCAACTTTCGGAGACTGAACAGGTTGAGACTTGTACTCAAGTGGACACGCACAATTTATCTATGATGAGAGTAACTGTCAAAAAACGAACAAGGTTCGAATTTTGCTGCGAGTTTTCTCAATATAACACGTTTAAAGATGACGCTTAAAAGAAAATAGTCCCAAGAAGACATATTTGAAATAATTGAAGTGTATGAAGAAAAATCAGTTCTTTGGAATACCAAATCTAAAGAGCATAGAAATCGGAAAGCGAGGGATGCAATTTTAACAAGTATTGGACAGAAATTTAAACGGGATTTATACCATTGGTAATATTTAGTCTTCTGACAACATAATTTGGTCTTCTGACAGTAAAATTAAGTCTTCTGCTAATAGTGTTTGGTTTTTTAGTAGTAGTGTGTAGTCTTCTGTAACAATATCTAGTCTTTCACTAGCAATACTTAGTCTTTTGCCAGCAATATCTAGTCTTCTACCAACAGTATTTCGTCTTCTGGTAGTAGTGTGAAGTCTTCTGGTTGCAACATCTAGTCTTTCATTAGTAATACTTAGTCTTCTGCCAGCAATATCTAGTCTTCTACCAACAGTATTTCGTCTTCTGGTAGTATGAAGTCTTCTATAATTCAATTTTCTAACACAGCAAATATATTTTGTAACTTCGACATGCAGTTTTAGCTTTCCCCAGCAAAGTTATTCATGTCGACCTATAGCTAATATAAAAAATTACCTACTAAATGCACTTGAATTAAGGTTATACACATTATTATAAAGAACTTTTGTAAATACATTTAAATTTTTATAATTACAACATAATTAAAACTATTTGAATTTGTTTAAATAAATAATGATGTGGCAACTGGATATTGTGGGAGAAAAATAAAACACCACTTTTGGTTAAGAATCAATGTCTCTCTCTCACTGCTAGTTACACACTGCCAACTCTCACATGAAACACTCGCATCCCCTCTTTTTCCGCTCTCTTCTAGTTCGTAACTGGTACTTGGGGGAATTTGATCCTACAGATCGGCCATTCCTGATTTGGGAATCGTCCTCGATCCCATTTTGATTTTTTTCTAAGTCGTTCATCTTCGTTCCATGGTTTTCTTGTTCACTTTCATCTTGATCTTCATTGCTTCTTCCCTCTTCATTTTGAGATAACTCATAAATCTGATTTTCATTTAATTCTACTGTTTGGCCTTCTTCTTCTGATGTTACTTCATCCAAATAATCTTTCCAAGGTTTCATGAAATCCGCAGCGGTTGAAGTCTTCTTTGGGACTTCTGTCCTACCAACTCTCTCAACATCATATCGATCATGGTTTTTAACGGTTACAATCTTGTAAGGTCCCAAGAATTTTGATTTAAACTGACCGCAATTTGCGAATTTGGTTCGTTTTATAGCAATGAGATCACCACACTTGTACTGTGTTGAAGATTTTCTCTTTTTATTAAATTGTTTTCTGTTTTCGTCTTGGATCTTCAGTATGTTTTCCTTTGCTAATTTTCTGGATTCTTCTCGGGTTTCTACAAAAGTTTGTAGGTATTCGTCCTCGATTATTTCCTTTAATCTGATATCGTCTTTGTGTTTCAAAGATACTCCAAATAGGATTTCACCTGGACTAGTTCGAATACTTCTCTGATACGTTTTATTTAAGAATAGTTGCACTTTACCGACATGTTTAAACCATGTTGACTCGTCATTGACAGTTAATTTAGTTAATATCGGTATTATTATACGGTTGATCCGCTCAACTTGTCCGTTGGCTCTTGGAACACCGGTAGTTATGTGGGTTAATTGAACATTTTCATCTCGACAATAAGCCCTGAACCTTTCTGCCGTGAAAGCTGTACTTTTATCGGTGACAATATGCTCGGGATTACCAAATATCATCTTCTGTTGTTCCAATTTGCTAATAGTTTCTTCCGTTGTAACAGTTTTGGTAGGATATAGCCACACAAATTTGGTAAAACTATCAATGATTACCAGCAAATACTTATAGCCTTTAGCCGTAGTTTCAAGTGGTCCTAGATGATCCATATGATAAGTTTGTAATGGAATTTCCTCTTTTGGGATTGGGTTTAAAAAACCTTCTTGCTTTCCGTATTTTCGCTCAGCCAGGATACATCTGATGCAGTTTTTAATACATTGTTCAATTTTTGATCTAAGTTTTGGAATCCAAAAATCACGTAAAATCATATCTTCAGTTTTTCTCATGGAAAAGTGCCCGTTATCTTCGTGCGTTCTCCTTATTATTTCCATTTGCATCTTATTT